GGGGGGGGGGGGGCTCGATCTAGGGGTTACGGAGTTTGGACCTAGTTGATTGTGTCGCCAGTAATTCTAATTAGGGATGGGCGATGTGGTCGATTGATCGGTGATTACCGATCATCGATGTTTCTGACCAAGAAAACAAAATTTTTCATTTTTTTGTTGAAGAATAATGTTGATTGAGTGAGAATAAACAAAATAATTTATCCGCAATCAGAAGTCATCATTTTCTACAGTATGTATGTTATAAATGAACACGTCCAGTCGTCTATTCGTTTTTTTAATTAAAAAAAATGAATTTTTTTAAATTAATTAATTTACTTTAATATTTAATTTAATTTAATTATTTACGTTGAATTGTAATTAAATATTTAATTTTTAATTACAATTCAATTTCAATAATAAAATTTACTTTTATTCAATTGAAAAAAAATTAAAAATTGAAAACTTTCTTCAATGAATAATTTTTTTGATTAAATTTTTAAAAAATCATTGTTTTTCAATTAAAATTTTTAACAATTATTGCAGCTAGTGAAAAATATTCAATGTTTTCTTCAATTAATCAAAAACCCTGTTTCGAGATTCAAAATTTACGTAACGTAAGTTCCTCGCGAAAAAAAAATTATAAAAAAAAAAAGTTTTTTCTCCTGTGTAATAAGAAACAAAAACATCGCCCATCCCAAATTCAAATTACCCAGAATACATTTGCTCGTTCGCAAAAACCACCGGGAGGTTGCAACAACCCAGAGCAGAGAGCCGTCATGTTTTTTCGGAATTGAAAAACGGCTGCTCAGGTGCACCAAGTAGTTGATGAATTTGCTGTATCGTGCACAAAGGACACACTTCATCGTCAGTAGCATCACCAGTGGCAACGCGTTTGGCCCACCCAGGTGCCTTCCTAACTCCCGTATCGATGTACGAATAGCCATCGACATCAAAGTACTCGTATTTATGATTAGCTCCTTGATTACGCAAATCAATTCTATTGTCAAATTTATGCCGATTGTCAGTGTCAACGTACGAGTAACCCTCGGAATCTACAGATGTGCGTCTAAACCTCCTCTGGTCATACACTGAATTGGTCTGTTGCTCCATGGTAAATGGCTTCTCAGACGCTAATTGCGGCGTTGGTACACGATTTCTGTGTGTTGGTGTTATAACGTTTGATGATACTGGGGACACAATCTCATTGACACTAGCGTACGCGATTGTTGGCTGTACTGATACAGTATCAGTTGTACATAAACGTTTATTCTGATGATTGTACGATTGTCCTGTTACCGATGATGATTCGGAATTGTCAAAATCACCATTATAATTACTCTGACTAGACAATTGATGGGTACTAAGTTGCAACGCGATAACTGGGGCGATTAATGGTGGTGTACTAGGCACATGTGTTGCAATTGTCTGTGATACACCTTGTGATTTGGCCAGGAGGGCGCGAGGCGTTCTATAACCACCGAGTACCGCTCTTGATGGTTTTTCATTGACACGCAGCACATAGCGAGGATCACGGTAGTCGAGATAGTCGAGGTGATGATTTGCTGCTACATTTTCACCATGATGTTTGGCATTTTTTCCGCGTACCTCTATTGTCGGTGGACCGCTGTGCACTGATAAGTGATTGTGCAGCTGGGGGTGCGGCGTTGTCTCGGGTAAATCCTCGTAGAGGAGACCGCTCCCCGCTGTTGTCGTCGTGCCTTGCAGCGTGTGACCGTCCCCCAGGGTGCGACGATTTGCCGCCGCTGCTGCCGCCGCCGCCGCGGCACTCTTGCAGGGAAGCAAACCCTGGACTTTTCTCTTGTGTCTGGAACAGATTCGCGGGGTTAGTGAA